ATATAAACACACACACTAAAAAGAGGAGGATCTGATTTAGAATGCTGTCATTATCACATGTCTTCATGAGGATCTGATTTCAGATGGTGTGGATGGTAATGTTTAATTGTGTTACTGTGATGTTTTATTGTGAAAGCTCTTACTACAGACGTTGTCTCGGCAGATCTCTGACCCACAACCGCTGCAGGCCACACCTGCTATATATGGAGTAACACCATGAACGTGTCCCCTGTAAAGGAGCATGTTACAATAACATTACTAACCATCGCCACAAGAGGCAGACATAGTGATATTTTGACCTGTGCTGAACTTTACTATATCATTGCAACTATAAATCAAGCAAAAACTATACAAAATTTAAGAATTTCCCATTTTACAGAGAATCCGGGTCATAACCACCATAGATGTAAGGTGGATGTATTCCTATAATATTCAGAATAGTGGTAAATATAATAGAGGGAAGTCGTGGCCTAATGGTTAGAGAGTCGGACTCGTAACCCTCGTGACTACGTTGCTTATATGTGTGTGAAACACACAACAGCTGAATTCTCAGGCACTGTACTGATGTGTATCTTCACTATCACACACACACACTCATATTCACGTTTCATAATCCTAAGAGGTTGTAACACACTTTCAAAATGAGATTGAGTCTGAAGGCTAGAAAATCACACAGAAGACAAGCAATAAAGAGTATAAAATATCAACCCAGGTTTATTCAGCTAGCACTTTTATGATGGCCATTCTTACAAGTAAAATGAAAATTGCAGTTTTCTAAATGCATTTACAGGCCTACTGTGTATATGGAACTAAAATAAATGATTTACACACAGCAGAAAGGAAACTATATATATATATATATATTTATAGACAGATTTATTCTTATTATTTCAATGATTGCTAATTTAATATCCAACCATAATGAAATTATGGAGAGATGCAAATTTTAAGGTTCAAGTTTGAGACATTAGGTAACAGGTTCACATGATGACATTAATGTGTTTCATAAAAGTGGAGTAGCCAGCAAACTCCTAGTAGACACAGTCCAAGATTAGTCAGCCAATAGGAAATACTGTAGGCTGAAGAGGGCGGGCCATAGTCCCACCCAGGGAACCAGTCATATTCTGTAAAGAGAGACATCACAGCATATCTGAGCAACATGTAGGTTTGAAAAACGTCATACTGGGAAATGTATGCAAAGTGGATATAAATATGGAAATGATAAATAAAGTCTAAAAAGATTAGATTGGCATGAAGATATTAAGATATTTTAAATATTATCATCATGACTGTCTAAAAAGCTACTTTGAAACAATATATACTGTGAAAAGCGCTTTACAAATAAAATTGACTTGGCATTTTAGTGATGTACTGTCAAACCTACTAAATATACTGTGAATTTTGTTACGTCTAAATTAACTGGTTTTATTCAAGCCAAATATATTGCTTAATATGACTTCACAAAACTGACTACACTGTAAAAATTATTTTTTTGAAAATAGATACAGATTACAAGACAATGCAATTTCAGTCTTTCTACTTCAAATTTCACATATAATTCAGTGTGTTACTTGCTGTTTCATTGTAATTAATTGTGAAATTTACGAACTATTTCTAAGTGAAAATTGTTTCTACACAATTTTTTGGTGTACATTATATCATTATATTACGCAAATGAGTCATTCTAAGAGTAAGATCAGGTAGACATACAGTAGCTCCTCTGTATAGTGAATATGGACAGTTTTTAATTGAACTAATAATCAAAACACACACACACACAAAAGTGTATAATTATTTTCATATCTTGAACCCCCTAGTTTTGAACATTTGGCTGCATCTTTGCAAATATTAAAGTCTAACTTACGTATCGCCATAGTTGCACACAAAAATAGTGGATTCTGGGTGAGTGGAGAAGTTTTCGATTCCTCTAGTGCACACATTTACAGCACAGCCCATCTTGAAGCTTGTAGACCACATTAACTGAAACATACAATAAATGCACAAATACATAAGGTTGATAAACAAACCTTACTTTGATTTTCATTCCTGAACAATATTCACAGCTGAACATACCTGTGCGTAGTGGCCACACATGCGTGAGCAGTTGTTATTTTTGAGTGAGTAAGCTCCTTTGCTCCATCCGTGTATGGCGTTCTCCAGTGAGAAGGCTGAAAACGGAGCCCCCAGCCAGATGTTCTCGCCCATCCACCCGAACAGCGGGTGCCCGAAATGTGCCAGCCCAGGGTGATGAGAGGCCTTGCAGTGTCTTGCTCGGTTTCTGGCACCCTTGGCCAATTCATTGTCCCAGGACTGTGGACAAACACACAAACAATAATCCAAATCAATTTGAATTACATAGATATGATATGACTTAAGATATGACTGACAGGACAACAAGTGCCTCTAAAACTTACATTTAAGCCCCATTCTCACCAAAAACCATAACTATATTACTGTCCACACCAACGTAAAAATATTGTTTTGTTTGTTATAAACGCGTGCTGCAGTTTTGTTGTCTCGACATGCTCCAGCTCTTTAAAGCAGGATTGATTTTGATTGGCTGTCAATTTATTTTAATCGTTCATCACCTGGAAAAATAAAATCGTTCTGTAAGTGATTCCAAAGATATCGTTCCTTTTTTGTCGTTTTCATTATACAGTAGTTATGAATCACTTACCTATTCCCAAATAATTAGACCGATTAATAAATAAAGTATGAATAATTCAAATTCTTTGGGAATAGGTAAGTGATTCATAACTAGTTATCGTTCTTGGTCTGAACGGGCCGTTAGAATTCAATTTGTCCCAGAATATTCAATCCCAAAACATTTTACTTGTGCACCTTGGTTTGTTCCATGCTAAAATACTTATTCGAACTAATTCAACTACAATAACTTATATTTACAACATTAAAAAACAGGTTATTAGATCAAACAAATAACACACTCTAAAAAATGCTGGGTTAAATAGGGACAAACCCAGCAATTGGGTTGTTTTGACCCAGCGGTTGGGTTACTACCCAGAAGATTGGGTTAAACATCTAACCCAGCCGCTGGGTCAAAACAGCCCAATTGCTGGGTTTGTCCCTATTTTACCCAGCACTGGGTTGTATTTAACCCAGCATTTTTTAGAGTGCACATTTCATATGATCATTGTTGAGAGATATCTGAGAATATCCTTCCAGAACCCTCTTCAGGCGCCATCCCAATCAACAAGCCCCTTTGTTTTCTTTTCATTCTTCTACTTCCAAAATACAGTCAAGATCAATTACACACACAATAGGGAGCCTTTCCTTTCCACTCACACAAAACATCTCTTTATTGCCATAGCAACCAGAATGATGGTTGTGCATATTTTTTTTAGACTGAAACTCTGAGACAAAAACAAAATGACATGCTGTAAAGCGAAATATTACCACGAGCATTTATAATGTGAAACAGTGAGACAAAGGGGTTCACAGACAAACACATAAACACACACAAATGAAGATGAACGTGAGTAAAATTGAGTAAACAACATGCTATCTGCGCGAATGATTATGAACACATAAATACTATCAGGAATGAATAATCTAAAACGAAACACCAAATACTGCGTCCTGAACACGTGTCTTACCATTGAGCGCGCGCTGGCCGCAGGTGGAGCGGTGCGCGAGCGCTGCGCGTTATGCGCCAGCACACACCTGCGGATGAACTCGGGTTCCGTTATTTCCGGTAAGAGAGACAGAACGCCGCAGGAGCCGTACAGAAGCACCGATATCCGTAAGAGAAGACCGCCGAGAGAGTCCATGGCACTGATGGCAGGAGACTGTCCTGAGCCGCGCTGCTTCGCTCTGGATAAATGAGTCAATGGAGCATCACTGCAGGAGACTCGCTGACCTGTGCGTCATGGTGCCGTGGATTTGCCCACTCTCTCTCTCTCTCTCTCCCTCTCTCTCTGTCTGTCGCTCTCTTTCTGTGTCTGTCTGTCTGTCTTTCTTCGTACAGGGGGCTTTTTGAAGGACTAAAACTGAACCGCCCACCATGTCACGAAAAAATAAGATGCGCGGCACTCTTCGTCTTCATCCCTCACGCACAAGTTCACGCGCGCGCACACACTTGTCCAAATGTAAATTAAAGCGTGCGACAAAAATGGCCATATTTAGCCCGTTCATATTTAGAATGTCTATTTTCAAAATACATTTTTAGAATGATTTTTTTTAGATGGCAGCTAAATATCAGTTATAAGTTAATTTATTTTAGATTTATCCGAACGTGTATTTAAGATTTTAAAAACAAATTATTTAAATGATATTAAACATTTAGAACGATAATGGTTGTTCTCGTGGAATATTGCCTTTAATCATAGATTTATTTAATAATAAAATTATTTAATTGTTTTATTTGAATATGGTCTTCTTTCATTCAAGATTGATTTATTAGTACTTTGTCTTTGCAAGTTATGTGAGCAAAAAGTCTTTCTTTTTTCTCTTTTTATGGTCGGTTAAAGGTTTCTTTTCTTTTCTTGTACATTTGTAGAAGTACATTTACACATGTGAATGGATTACTTTGCAGCAGCATTTTAAATAATGTTTAAATAACTTTTTTTTCACCTACAATAATTTTGCAACAATTTTTGTTTACAAAAATGTATTTATTTTTATTTATTTTGCTTTAAATTGTATATAAATAAACATTTACAAAATGGTTTTGTTGCAGCATTTGACATTTTTTCATTTTAGTTTACAAATACGTATTTTTAATGTATTTTCTCTTAATTGTAAACATTTACACATGAGAATGGATTATTTTGCTACAATTTTGGTTGCTTTTTTACATTCAGTACTTTTGCAATCTTTCTTCGTACAGGGGGCTTTTTGAAGGACTAAAACTGAACCGCCCACCATGTCACGAAAAAATAAGATGCGCGGCACTCTTCGTCTTCATCCCTCACGCACAAGTTCACGCGCGCGCACACACTTGTCCAAATGTAAATTAAAGCGTGCGACAAAAATGGCCATATTTAGCCCGTTCATATTTAGAATGTCTATTTTCAAAATACATTTTTAGAATGATTTTTTTTAGATGTCAGCTAAATATCAGTTATAAGTTAATTTATTTTAGATTTATCCGAACGTGTATTTAAGATTTTAAAAACAAATTATTTAAATGATATTAAACATTTAGAACGATAATGGTTGTTCTCGTGGAATATTGCCTTTAATCATAGATTTATTTAATAATAAAATTATTTAATTGTTTTATTTGAATATGGTCTTCTTTCATTCAAGATTGTTTTATTAGTACTTTGTCTTTGCAAGTTATGTGAGCAAAAAGTCTTTCTTTTTTCTCTTTTTATGGTCGGTTAAAGGTTTCTTTTCTTTTCTTGTACATTTGTAGAAGTACATTTACACATGTGAATGGATTACTTTGCAGCAGCATTTTAAATAATGTTTAAATAACTTTTTTTTCACCTACAATAATTTTGCAACAATTTTTGTTTACAAAAAATTTATTTATTTGTATTTATTTTGCTTTAAATTGTATATAAATAAACATTTACAAAATGGTTTTGTTGCAGCATTTTACATTTTTTCATTTTAGTTTACAAATACGTATTTTTAATGTATTTTTCTCTTAATTGTAAACATTTACACATGAGAATGGATTATTTTGCTACAATTTTGGTTGCTTTTTTACATTCAGTACTTTTGCAACTTTTACAATATTATTGATTATATTTAGATTTAAAATATCTTTTTTTACCTTTTCATGTACTTAAAATTTATAAATTTGTCTACCTTCGCGTAATTACATTTCAAAATTTGGTCCTTAGTAGCATATTTTATTTTACTATATATTTGACTGTGTTTTACCTTTATATACTAATTATTTTTACGCAAGTCTCATTCATGATCATAGTCTTCATAAATGCATTTTAAAATGTATTTATTTTCCATTTAATTTGGTTGGTATTGTGGTAGACATTTCAGACTACGTTTCCCACAATCCTTTCATGAGCACAGTCACGTGTGTTGGGTTTAAAATCACCACAGCAACGGGAGCGCGGAAGTGAAACTCGTCTTAAAACCTGTTAATTTGCCCAACTGTTCACGTTAATAGTGGACGGCACCACTAATAATGAAAGCAAACGTGAAATCTTCACCTTTACAGAAAAGTGTGCAACAGGTAAGTGCGTAATGCCTGTAATGGCTTTTTAAAATGAACAGGTGTTACGTGTATTAATTATTCTGTCCATTTATATGTATATTTATATCAGAAACCCACGATAACTGGAGCAGACCGCGGGCCAAGGCCAGCAGAGTAAGTTTAGAGAAATAAGAAAAGCTTACAAACACATACAGCTCTGGAAAAAAAAGTAAGAGCCCACTGCAAAATGATCAGTTTCTCTGGTTTTACTATTTATAGGTATGTTTTTGAGTAAAATGAACATTTTTGTTTTATTCTATAAACTACTGACAACATTTCTCCCAAATTCCAAACAAACATATTGCCATTTAGAGCATTTATTTGCAAAAAATGACCACTGGTCAAATTAACAAAAAAGATGCAGTGTCTTCAGACCTCAAATAATGCAAAGAAAACAAGTTCACATTCATTTGTAATCAACACAATACTAATGTTTTAACTTGGGAACAGTTCAGAAATCAGTATTTGGTGGAATAACCCTGATTTTCAATCACAGCTTCCATGCTCTTGGCATGCCCTCCACCAGTCTTTCACATTGCTGTTGGGTGACTTTGTGACACTCCTGGTGCAAAAATTCAAGCAGCTCGGCTTTGTTTGATGGCTTGTGACCATCCATCTTCCTCTTGATCACATTCCAGAGGTTTTCAGTGGGGTTCAGGTCTGGAGATTGGGCTGGCCATGGCAGGGTCCTGATCAGGTGCTCCTCCATCCACACCTTGACTGACCTGGCTGTGTTGCGTGGAGCATTGACCTGCTGGAAAAAACAATTCTCAGAGTTGGGGAACATTGTCAGAGCAGAAGGAAGCAAGTTTTCTTCTGGGGTGACCTTGAACGTGGCTTGATTCATGTGCCCTTCATAAAGACGAATGTGCCCGATTCCAGCCTTGCTGAAGCACCCCCAGATCATCACCGATCCTCCACCAAATTTCACAGTGGGTGCGAGACACTGTGGCTTGTAGGCCTCTCCAGGTCTCTGTCTAACCATTAGACGACCATGTGTTGGGCAAAGCTGAAAATTGGACTCATGTAGAGATGCCGATTTAAGAAAAATTTGGAGTGGTCTCAATTTTTTTCCAGAGCTGTATAATAATTGAGTTGTTCATTAATTATTTATGCAATTTATTTAATAATTAAATATCTCACAGAGTTCCAGCGCTAAAGTTAGAGACCCTGCAAGACACGGAGGAGGAGGTGGGATAACAAGACATGATGCTGTGTAGTTTATTAACTTGATTAAGCAAATAGAGTCCAAGTGGATTTAATGTTAATGTACATGTCATTTTGAACAGCATTTCCCCATAATTCCAAAGGATGCTGCTATCAAGATTGTCCCAGGAGGTCTGACAGCAGTGAGCTGGGGCTCTCCAGCCTCCACACAATCAAAGCAGGTGCTCATTCAAAATGATCTTAAATCACCTAAAAATCACAATTGTGTCGTAATATAGGCCTCTTTTTTTTCTGTGGAACAAAGAAGAATGATTTTGAAGTACTGCTATTTTTCTCCAGTACAATCACAATGAATGAGGCTTTCAAGCTTCAGAGCTTACAGTCTGTTTCTCACATAAAGCCAACATGTTTTTTCCCCACATAATAAATCTTTAAATCTGTTGTATATCAGTGTTATTTTAATATAATTGAGATACTGTTACAGTTTTTATTAATATTCTGAATTTTATTTCAGTTTTTATTTTTATTTCAAGTAACAACATTTTTGTATGGTTTTAGTTACCTATAATCACCCTGCTTTTTTAGATTAAGCATCTTGTGCGTTTCACACCCAGTGTTTTGCGACCAAGATGAAGGACTCAATTAAAAATCAGGTGTTTGCTGTGGATCAAGGAGAATCATTACAGCTGAGCCACAGAGTCCAGACACAGAGAAGTCCACTGTCCAGTCACAAACCCAACCTGGATTCATCCCACTTCACCTGTAAAATCACAGCACAACCCAACTACAACCAGTCCAACACTGTCCGACCAAACAGCAAGATGAGGGATGTGGTGAGTTCTGCAAAGTCAGAGTTTTTAGCATTAGAATAAGGACAATGGTCAAGATGGATCATGTTCACTTTATAAATAAATCATACACAGCACCCTTACATCATTGAAACACTTTGTAAACTTTATAAATTAGTCCTACCTGTCACTCCAAAACGAATGTCATGGAAAACATGTTGAATGCTAGTGAATATGCAGTCAATTTATTATTTTATTTTATTTTTCCACAAAAAGCAATTTGTAACAAGTTATATTTTATTTTGTCCACACATTTATCACGTACCTACACAAAAGTAATTCATAACCATCTTTAGTTTAGTTTAGTTTAGTTTATTCCACTCAAAGCAATTTATGTTTTAACAGCACATTTATGTTTCCACACAAAAGCAATTTATAACATTTTATATTTTTTTCCACACATTTATTATGTTCTTACACAAAAACAATTTATATATTATTTTTATCCCACACATATATCATACATACATGTTTTTGACCAGAGTTTGTTGTCTCCCCCTGAAGGAGGGTGTTTCTTATGCTCCAGAAGTCCTATGTGAGCATTTAATATGATTGGATGACATGTTTATGTGTTTGTGAGTAGGAGGAGCTTACCGAGGACAGGAAACTGCAAGCAGTAATTGAGCAGGTTATGGTGGACCAACTGTCAAGGTCAGTATCTCTGGTTTTTTCTCTCTCTGTTCCATTTTTGTTCACAGTTTGTGGTGAGTAATAACATCGTGAGGTTTCTCTGATACCCACGCAGGG